TGGATTTAATAATAATAATAATAATAATAATAATAATAATAATAATAATAATAATAATAATAATAATAATAATAACATACGAATGTGTGTGATTAATTGTAAATTTTTTATTCTGCTTCGAACGCATAGAAAAAATATTTTTTTAAGCCGTTTTTTCGATTTTAATTGTCATCATTATCATCATCATCATCATCATCCCCACCACTTTCATCATCATCATCCCCACCACCTTCATCATGAACATCCCCTCCACCCCCACCACCACCATCATCATCGTCGTCATCATCGTCATCATCATCGTCATCATCATCGCATCGTCATGTGTCACAATACGTACGAATGTCATATCATAAAGTTATAAATAATTAATTTAATTTTTTTAAAAAGAAAAAATACACGAACGGAAAATGCGTTCGTTCGTACGTGCGAACGCGCACGCGTTCGTGCGTGTCACATTAAAACACGCACGTATTGCATAAATCGAAAAAAAAAAGAGCGAAGTCTAAAAAAGGTTCTAAAAAAAAAAAGGAAAAGAACGAATTTAAAAAATTGATTTGACGTGGCAGGAGATTAAATCGATTTGATTGTTGCTGTTGTTGTTGTTATTATTATCGATTGAAAACAGGATGAAACGAAAAGTGAAAAAAATTTTTTTTTTCAAGATGATTTCGAGTAGGATAAAAAATTTTACATTTAAACCTCCATTTTTTTTTCATTTTTTTGGTTAATAATTAAAAACTAAAAAAAAAGAAATGAAAAAAAAAAATTTTCTTTTTTTTTTTTTTAAATTTCAAAATCGATTTTTCAAGTTTCGTGTTTGTTTTTTTATTTCTCCCCCTCGCATTTTCACCACCACCACCCCCTCTTCGACCCCCAATATCACTTCCCCCCTCAATATCCCCCATCATTAAATTTTTTTTTTTTTTTTTTCGGTTGCCTTGGTTATTTTGTTTGGGTTGAAAAAAAAAAAAAAAAAAAAAAAATTTTTGTTGTTGTTGTTGCTTTTTTCCCGGACATTTTTTGTTTTTTCGTTTGTTTGTTTGTTTTTCGTATTTTTTGCATACGTTTGTTTTAAATTTTTTAAATAAAATGGACATCGTTAAAAGTATCGTTGAGTCGTTTCGGAGTTTTTTTTTTTTTTTATTGCGGTAAACAAACAACAAATAAAATGAAAAATTAAATATATAATTTTTTTTCTCACGTGTTGTGTCGCTTGTTTGTTTGCTTGTTTGTTTGTTTGAACGAATTAAATAAATTTTTATTAATATGGTAAACAACAAATTTTTTTTTTTTTTTATTTGTAAATTTTACGCAACCGTTTGTTGTTTGTTTTTAAATTATTATTATTAAAAAAAAATTTTCCTTTTTTTTTTTTCATTATAACGCAAATTTCAATTTTAATTAATTTTTTTTTTACAAAATGGCGGACGTTTCTCTTTTTTGCCACGAGAATCCACTTTATGTGCACTTTTATTAATAATAATAATAATAATAATAATTTTTTTCGTACAGTCGTAGCGAAAAGAAAAAAAAACAAAATTTGCATCGTCGAGTTGAATGAAAAAAAAAATGAAAATAAAAAAAAATGGCGAACGGGAAAAAAATAGAAGAAACAGATAACGAAACCGGAAATAGTAAAGAGGATTGGGAAATATTTGACATTCTTTGTATGGAAAATTCAAAGGTAATATTAATAATAATAATAATTAGCATTTTTCTCTTTTTCTCTTTTTTTTTTTGTAAGGCACGTTCGAAACTTTCTTTTGAAAAAAAAAAAAAAATTAAAAAAATGCTGACGGGATTAAATTTAAAACTTTTATTATTATTATTATTATTTTCGTTTCGGGCTGGAAAAAAAAAATTTTTTGGATTTTGGGTTTTGGGTTTTGCGAACAAGAAAGCACGTTAATTTAATGACGTGTAAATGTGGTCCTGACAGTATTTACGAAACAATACGAACGTAACGAATATATAAAAAGTTTGAACGTTCAGTGGCGTAACAACATAACTTAATATTTTGTAACAATGAACAATAATTTTCTTATTACGTCACTGATTTTCCCGCTTCCTCCTACCCCACTTTTCCCTCATTCTTCTCATTAAATGATTTCTCTTCGATATTTTCATGTTTTTTTTTATTCGTTTGCTCTCATTTTTTTTCTGTTGTTTTTATTATTATTATTATTGTCATCATCATTATCATCATCATCATTATTACGACTTTTGAACGCGACAAGTTCCATCTATACCCGTCGAACGGTTTTGATAACTTATCGCGTTCGAAATCGGGTTCGTTTACGCGCGCTCACGAATATGATACCTCAATGACAGGGTAGGAAACTTTACAAAATTTTTAATTTTTTTTTCTGTAACCACGTGATTCTCAATCATTCCTTTTTCATATGAAATTTTCGATTGAAAGCTTTTTTCGTAACGTGTTTTCTTTAAAATGAAATTTTCCGAGTAAAAATTACGGTAAAATTATCAATTTAAATAATAATAATAATACCCACGTGTGTGTGTGTGTTTGTATTTTTTTTAAAATGCCAAAAATTTGGCGGTAAAAATTTAAAATTTTATTCGAAAATCGAACGGGGAGGAGGAGGGGGGAGGGGGGTAAAACCGATTTAACGATGGAAACCATATGGCGTTTTAATAATAAAAAAAAAAATTTTCAATATTCCGAATTAATTTTTTTTTTTACCTGCGATACAATGGTATTATTATTATTATTATTTACGGAATATACAATACGAATCGGAATCGTATTAAATTTGGTGGGGAGGAGTGGGGGGAGGGTTTTCAAGGAAAAACGTAAGGGAACGAATGAAAATTTCTTTTTTTTTATTAGTAATTAAAAACGTTTATAATCGATACCGTTTTATTATTATTATCATTATTATTCAATAGGATTTTGTATACAAAAAAAAGAGAATAAAGAGAGAGAGAGAGAGAGAGAAAAGGTAAAAAAACCAAAAAAAACAAATGTAAAATTTAATTTTTTATTTTTGACCCAAAAAATTCAGTGACATTACGACCTGACATCGGGGAAACTTTACTTTTTATTTTATTTTTTCTTTCTTTCTCGTAAATTTTTTAGTTTTTACACGAATTTTAACTTAAACGGAATTTTAAAAAGCAAAAAAAAAAAAAAAACAAATTGTTCCCTCAAGGTTTTACCTACGTGCCTGTAAAAAAAAAAAAAAATGTTCGGCGATATTTATTTATTTATTTTTTTTCGGATGAGTGTTTTTTTATGTAATTGAAAGATAACACGGTTAAATGAGTAAGTAATGATACCTTGAGCAATTCCAGAAACATCACATCCTCTGAAAACCGCCATTTTCGAACTGAAACTTTTTTTTTTTTTTTTTAATCCTTCCCTTTACTCCCTACGCCCGCCCACCGCTCCCTCCAAATACTTTTCATTATACGTTTTTGCATTTCCGGTTGGTCAGATGGAAGAAGAATCGCACGACGCTATGACGGCATTAAAAAGCGAATTGGCGGCTTTGCAATATAAAAGAGATAAATTATTATCGGAATTGAACGACATGAGAGTACAAATTCGAAATCGGGATCAAAAAACTATGGAATTACAAACGGAATTGGAAAATTTAAAAGAACAGGGAGCGAGGCAAAATGCAATAATAACATCATTGAAAAAAAGAATTCAAGTAAGTAACTCCCTCCCCCCCAAAAAAAAAGTCTACAAAATGACAAATTTAAAGTTGTTTATCGATGTGTGTGTGTGTGTGTGTGCGCGCGTGCGTGTATAGGAACTGGAAGAAAAAGAAAGAAATCTTTCAATCGCTCAAGGAAGAGCCGATGCTGCATTGCAAACTCTCCAAAGAGAAAATAAATATTTGGAGGAAAAGAATAAAGACTACGGGAGAAAAATCAGAGCGCTGGAAATGGAATGTCACGCGGAAGAACAATCGAAATTAGCCTCCAGAGAATCCATGAATGATTTTTTAAGAAAAATATCCAGCGCTTTAGGCACTCCGGAAACAATAGACGTTCATACGTCTCAAGATTGTTTGGTACATAAAGCGGCAGATCTCGTTTCGGAAACTTCAAGACTTCGTTCCAGGTTTGCCTCCTCATCCCCATCACCCTCCCATTCACCCCTCCCCCCTCCATCCATCAATTAATTAATTTTTATTTGCTTTTTAAAGAGCTCATTCATTGGCGGAAAATTTACATTCGATAGAAATGGAATTGAAAAATTGTCGCGAAGCACTGGACAAAGCATTGGCGGAAAAGGAAAGCTTTCAAAAACAAGCCGCTTATCATTTTATAGAAATCGATAAACTCAGAAAGGTATCGTGAAAATTTTCTTCATCGCCCCCCACCAAAACACGTGACTTTTTTCCTGTTTTTTTTAAAGGAAAAGGAAGAATTGGACATACAGCAAAAATTAGCAGAAAGAGAAATTTGCGAACTTAGGGATAAATTAGCTCATGCAAATAAAGATTTGGGTTGTGCGAGCGTTAATAATGCGGCACAAGAAGCGACAATCAATCAATTAAAAGGTAAACGTCACAGGTAAAACCTTTCATTATCATTATTATTATTAATGATGACGTAAAAAAACCAAAAAAAACCGTTAAAGCGGACAATTTTTTTTTTTTTTTCCAAATAAGATGAAACGAAATGCAAAGATGAAAAAATTTATCGTCTGCAAAATGATTATAGACTTTTAATAGAATCCATAGCCATAACGATAAGTTCGCCGACAAGATTTGTAAGTTCGACGGAAGAAGATGTTAAAAATGGCGTCAAAGAAATAGTACAAGAATGTAAAGAAAAAACACTCGTGAGTATAATTCCACGTCTTTTTTTTGGGAGGGAATATTCCAGAACGTTAAAATCTTTTAAAATTTAAATTAAAAAAAAAAATTTTTTCCAGTCATTCATTCGTCATCACCATGATCGCGATGACGATGCGGTGGCGGTAAATTTAAAATTTTTTAAATTTTTTTTTCGTGGAAGAAGAAAAAAAAATTTTATTTTATTTTTGTTTGAATATTTTATGATGACTTTTTCTTTTTTCTTCGCTACGGAAAAAGTTAAAAATTTAATTTGAAAACTTTTTTTTTTTTTTTTTTTTTTTTTTCATATTTAAAAAATCTCGACAAAAAAAAAAAAAAAAAAAAACGGGAAAAGGGGGGAAAAAAAGAGTTTTCTCGCTGGAGAAAAATTAAAAAATATAAAAACAAACAAGGATACGATGTATGTAATTTTTTTTTTGTAGCAAAACGAAAGTTTAAAAGATAAGCTAAACAGAATATCGACTCAATTAAATCGACAAACGGAAATGGATGAAGAAGCCAATCATAAAAATAGAATACTACAAGACGAAAATGAAGTTTTAAAAACGAGAATAACTAAATTGCAAGAAGAATTACATAATTCAAACGTAACTTTGGAATCATTAAAATCCGATAAATCCACCGTAAGTTAAACATTAATGAATGATTCTTCCAATTTTTTTTATCACTTCCGGTTCTAGTACTACCGGTACTCACACCCCCGCTTAAAAAAAATCCCTTTCAAAAAATAAATGTGTAAATGAATTTTGATCCCTTTAAAAAATAATAATAATAGGGAAGATGACGACGATGATGAGAATAATAATAATAATAATTTTTTTCGTCTGCTTCTCCAGTTCGTTAATTTCGTCGAAAGATTAAATCGAGCTTTAAACATGGACGAAGTTGTCAAAGATGTCGAACCTGATTTAGTCATCGAATCTCTTATACTTCGAGCGGAAAAACTTTCGAGATTGGAAACGAGTAAAATCGTCGATAAGGTAATCGACAATTTATTATTATTATTATTAGTATTAATATTTATCCAGAGCTTTCCAGAATTAAATAATCATAATAATTTTTTTACGAAACGGGGCGCGTTAACAAAAAAAAAAAAAAATTTTCTGGACTCGAATATTAAAAAAAATTATTATTATTATTGTTACTGCCACTTTCGTCAATGCGTTTGATAATTTTATTATCATTATTATTATTATTATTATTATTATCGTCATTAGTGCCCTTTTTTCTCGATTGTAATGAAGAGAAAAATGCGAAAGAGGGGAAAAATTTTTTTTTTTTTTGTTTTGGAAAAATCGAACGTGAAAAAAAAATTATTTTATTAAAACGCTGATCGAACGTCCTGGAAAATTTTGGAGAAAAAGAGAGAGAGAGGGGGGGGGAAGGGATAAGCGGAAATTTTTTTTTTTTTTTTTACCGAAGGGATTAACAAAAATGATAAAACAAAATATTTATACGTCACGAATTTACCGGGTTCCGTTAATTAAAATTAACGAAACATTATATGGGAGCCAATTAAATTAATCGATCGGCATCAAATTAAATCGGTTTAATTAATCTGCAAATAATGATAATAATGATAATGATGATGATGATGATGATAATGATAATAATAATAAAAAAAAATTTTTTTTTTTAATTATTAATATCGATCCCGTTTTTGTTTTATGTTTTTTTTTTAAAAAAAATTTACGATTTCATCCGCGTTTTTTTGAAAAAAACAAAAGCAGACGATAAAAATTGATGCGTTGAAATAATAATAATAATAGTAATAATAATGATGATGACGATTTAATTTAATCCAGCGACGATTATTTTAAATAAATAATAATAAATAAATAAAAAAGGCAGAAATTAAACGAATACGGGTTTTAAAAAAAGTGTTTTCCCCTTTTTATCTCTCTCTCTCTTCATCCCTAAAAAATGATAATGATGATAATGTAAATTTCGGTTTGGAAAATCCGGGAGAAAAAAATTTATTTTTTTGTTTAAATCCCCTTCTTCCTCCCCCCGTTTAAAAACAAAAAACAAAAAAAGGTCGGATTTCTCTTCGTCATCATCATCTCTTTTCCTTTTTTTTTTTTTTTGTTTTTTTTTTCACTCGAAATTTATTTATTACGATGATGATGATGATAATAATGATAATAATAATAATGATAATGATAAAAAAAAGTTAAATAAATAAAACAATTTCTAAAGTTTAATAATAATAATAATAAAAAGTCGAGAGAGAGAGAGAGAGTGAAAAAAATTTTAATAAAAAAAAAAAAAAAATTACGAAATGAATAAAAAGTGGGAGCGGGGTGAGGCGGGGAGCGGGGGGCGTGGGAAGATCTTTTATTACCGTAATTTTTTTCCCTCGCCTGGCCCCCCCCCCCACCCCGCCCCCAAATTCTTATTTACTGAGTGATGATATACGTGATAATGATACTCATATAAACATTCCCATATTTTTCTGTTTATTTTATTTTTATGTATTTATTTATAAACCGAATTTTATATTTAAAAAAAAATTTAAATCGACGACGATTCCCACGTGACTTAATTAAAACCATATAAGGTAATTAATTTAAATTTCCTTTTTTTCTTTTTTTTTTTTTGTGGTAAATAAAAAGTTGGTTTGTCATCAGTCTGCCTGCTGTCTGAGATGTCCTAAAATAAAAAGAGAAAAATCATTTCCCGATTTGTGTGTGAGAGAGGTAAGCTAATCCAATCAATCAATCAATCAATCAAACAATTCATCGTAGAAAAAACAAATGCAAACATTTTATTATTATTATTATTATTATTACTACGTCCATGATGATGATAATAATATTTTTTTGCACACACACCCACCCACCCATAATTTTAAATTACTTTTCTTATCACCCAAAACGTTATCATTTCATTTTATTATTATTATTATTATTATTTTTAAAATTTAATATAAAAAAAAGCACGAAGTAATTTGTTATAATAATAATAATAATAGTTATAAATAAAAATTATTTACGTATAATTATATCGAAGGATATATATAGAAAGTAAAATATTTGCACCGAGGGAAAAAAAATTTTTTTTTTAATTTAGAATGAGAATGAGAATGAAAATGAGAATGATTAAGATGATGATGATGATGATAAACGGGTTAAAAATATGTTTTTTAATTAGGATAATCTAATAAGAAAAATTAATTATAAAGTCCATCAGTTTTGTGGGTAACCGAAATATATTTATGTAAACGAGAGAAAAGTGATTAAAAATATATTAAAATTCATATCCGTACCGTTTTAAAAATTTATATATACGTATATATTTCGAGAGTGATAATTATTATTAATTAATTCTCGACACGAATTCTTACAAATAAAAGAAAAATAAAATGAAAATTTGAAAAAAAAAAAAAAAAAAAAATGGCGGGTAAAATTTAAAATAAAAAAAAAATTCGAAAATGTTTTCAACACCATCTAACG